AAAGCGACATTTTTGCATTTGGTTCCTCCGACCGTTATTCAGTTGGGCAATTACAAAGGTGCCAAGCCAGAGCATTTTAAATATGTTCGGACAGTTATGAGTGCCGCAAGTAATTTGGCGCAAAACGATGCGGATCGTTTTAAGAAAGTGTGAGTGTTCAATTTTAAGAACGATAATGCTATAAAACTTAATCTGGGATTATCTTTAATCTAAGTTTTTCTCTCAATTTTTTAGAGCACATAATGCCTCATTTTTCCAAGGCTATGGACTAACGGAAACATCACCATTATCAACACTAACACCACAAGGTCTGCAAAACTACGGTACAATCGGCTGGCCCGTCGCAAATGTTGACATAAAAATTGCTTGTGTGGATGATCCAAGTTTCAAAGGATTGGCAGCAAATGAAACAGGTGACCACGAAAAATAAATCTTATGCCTTTATTTTTCATCTCATCAATTGAATTTGCATTTCATTATCTATAGGTGAACTGTTGGTACGGGGACCAAATATAATGAAAGGATATTTCAAAAATGACGAAGCGACAAAAGCAATGATTACCGAAGATAATTGGTTGAGAACGGGCGACATTGGGCATTATGACGAAAATGGCCTATTTTATATAAGCGACCGTTTGAAGGAATTGATTAAAGTCAATGCAAATCAAGTGGCACCGGCCGAATTGGAAGGTATTTTACGTGAACATCCAGACATTTTGGATGCTGTGGTGATAGGAGTATCGCATCCCAAGTGTGGTGAAGTGCCGAAAGCGTTTGCAGTACGACAGCCCGAGTCAAATATCACGGAAGAAGACGTTAAACAATTTGTCGCGAAACAAGTGATCAAATACAAACAGTTGACTGGTGGTGTTCAGTTTGTCGATCAAATCCCAAAAACGGCAACTGGAAAAATGTTACGTAGAGAAATCCGAAAGTTATTCTCATGAGCATTGAACCGTAATAATTACATGAAAATAAAGTGTTTTTATACATTTATTCTTCAATTTTTGTCCTTCACTAAGTTTAAAAAGTTTGGAATTGCACTAAAAACAAATTAAGTGTTAACGAAGAAAATGAATATATTTAACAACCCAGATATCAATTCTTTTCATAATTTTTCTTTTCTCTCCATAAAAACAATTCAATTCATTTTTTTTTACATATATCTATTTAGTGGTTTCATTGCATATCTTATTCAGTTAAAAACACATGGCTAGATGGTGCGGTTTCAAATGTTTGCTGCTTGACCAAATCTCGGAATATGCTTGTGCGGTCGTTCATAAGTTCGTCATACGAACCCTGTTCTAAAATTCTCTGATCGCCCACGACGATAATTTTCTGTGCATTACGAATTGTACTCAGGCGATGGGCTATCGTCAAAACGGTTCGATCTTGCGAGATGTGCTGCAATGATTCCTGAATAGCAAACTCCGATACACTGTCCAAGGCACTGGTCGCTTCATCGAGAATCAGTATTTTCGGATTCTGAAATTTCACAAGTAAAACACACACAATAAAAATATACCGGTTACTGAATTGGGTTTCGTAATATCTATGCGAAGAACTTACTCGAATCAATGCCCTCGCTATCGCTACTCTCTGCCTTTGTCCTCCCGATAAAGTCAAGCCTCGTTGTCCAACCAATGTGTTATAGCCATCCGGCAGTGTCTTGACAAAATCGTCAACATAGCTTTGTTGAACGACACGATCAAAATCTTCATTAGCTAAATTCTCGTCCTTGTCCGAATTCAACCCGTACAAAATATTATCACGAATTGTCCCACTGAACAAGACTGGCTCCTGACTAACCGCCGCAATATGACTGCGTAGCCACTTTAAATGCAACTCCTTAATGTCCACACCGTCCAAGTAAACGCCACCCGATTGAGGATCATAAAATCGCAGTAAAAGTGATGCAATTGTAGATTTCCCGCTTCCACTCCGGCCAACAATTGCTGTCACCGTATTTGATTCAATGTTCAAGTTGACGTTTTTCAAAATCATTACTTTCGGCCGTGATGGAAATGTGAAACAGACATCTTTCAATTGAATAGAACCTGAAACACCAGAAAAAATTAGAATTCAATTAAAATTTATTAAGTTGATTGAAGTTTTGACTCAATCATAAAGAAGAAAAAAAACTTTAGTTCAAATACTTGCCTTTAATCGGTTCCTTCGGAATGATGCCCGAATCAACAGGTATCGAAATTGGCTTATCGAAAATTTCCCAAATTCTAGCGGCAGCTCCAACACCTTTATTTAGTTCTGTATAAAATCTCGTTAAACCTGTCATTGCCATACCTGCATTAAAATTCATTATTAGTTGACGTTATTTGAAAGTTTTGACTTTTGACTCATACCGGTATATCCAGCATAGAAGACAAACGACGTTAAATCGCCAATCGTTAGTGCATTTGATGCAACAAGTGATCCTCCATAATAAAGCACCGAAATAATGATCACATTCCCTGATAGCCCTGCTATGCCATAAAATGCAGCCCTCGCATAAATATCCTTGTATCCCAAGTCAAGGGCATTCACCAATTCCTTAGTGAACAGTCTATTTTCTTGTTCTTCTTTACAGAACATTTTCACCGTTTTCACGTTGTTTAAGCGCTCCTCTCCGATCTTCATCACTTCGGCCAGTTTATCGAGGAGAAGTTTTGTGATATTTTTGACGTATGTTCCAAACAGAATCGCTAAGCCACCAATGAATGGTACAACACACACAGCCACAAGAGACAGTTGTGGCGATGTGTATACCATCATTGAAGTCCCGGCCGCAATAGTTATTATTGATCTCAAGCCATCCGACAAATTTTGGCTGAGAGAATTGCCCACTAGCGTTGTGTCATTTGAAAGCCGGTTCACAAGTTCACCTGTTCCCTTCGTATCATACCAACTGGGCTCTTGATTCAGCATTGTGCGATACAAACGTGATCGAAGATCTTTCACGATTCGAAGTGCTTGAAAATGGAGAAAGGGAAAGATGTGATTCGTGTATTACTTTTGTTCGCTACGAGTTTCAATCAAGTATCTTACTTGCACTGTTCATCAGAAAAATTCGGCCAAAATTAGCTAAACCTCCCATAACGAAAACTCCAAATAGAACCAAACAAAATGCATGTAACTTTTCTCTTGGGAAATTATCCATAACAATCATGTCCATCAGTTTTCCAATGAAACGAGGTACGCCCAAAGTTACAGCCGATGACACAACTAAACATCCAACCGCGGCAATCAGATACCATTTTTCATCTTTAGCCAACGAAAAGAGCCGTTTGATTTCTTTCCTTGATTCATGATGCTGTTTCCGCATCGATGACCAACTACGGTCAACTTTTTTCACTGGTTTTGTGCAATAATTCCTTCGCAAGATCGATCCACTCCATTTCGTTAAATTAAAACTATTTGAATTTAAATGTGACTCAATTCGATTTGCTAAACATACATTTTGGTGGCGCCTGCTTTGGTTGAACACGGCCGATTGATATTTGGATAGTGATTGTCTTGTGATGAGTTTATCAAAATCTCGGTAACAACGGAGCATGACCTGTCGATTGGTGTAATTTATAAACACTAGGTATTTTTGTAACATTCTCGTATGGTAACCAAAAAAAAAAGAGGTTAATGTAAGAAAAAAAAAGGTGAAAATAACAAGGTCGATGCTAACAACTATAAATTAATCACACGATTTTGTGAAAATTTCGCACGGTTACACGGTTGAATTTTGATTTAACTTAAAGCGCATTTTAATCATTTTCATCCGAAGTTAATACATGACACTGAAAATATGACTTGTGTTGAATTGGTCGAAGATGTGAATTAGCTAACAAAACAGAACAGCAGAAAATGAGTGTATTTTGATTGACAACAAACATGAAGTTGGCCACAAATGACGCACACACTTGAAAAGGCTACCAATTGACGATATTTACATACATTTTAATATAAAATGCGTAATTAATGTACAACTATAAAATAGAATCAACTGCGTAAAATTTAAATACATTTTCGATTCGGCTATTTATAGCGAAAAAAAAAACAATTTTTATATGTTGTTTGTCAGTAAAAAAAAAAAACAACGGCTCTAATACATACAGCACATTTGACAACTGCCATTCTCTCGCTCTCTCATTCGTTCGGTTCTCTCCGCTCTCATTCGTAATGTCATCAAAACGTCATGTAGTTTACGTTCGACAGCAAACACTGCAACTTGGTTAAAAACAGATTAGTTGAAACAAAAAATCACTTTAAAGTGGGAAAAACTACCATAAACCGATTAATTTATTTGTGCGTGTTTGCATTTTGGGTGGTAAACTCATTTGAAAACATTGAATATACGAAATGCCTTCGTTGAACAACGAAAACGAGAGTGACGGTGACGGAGATATGTCAGAGAATGAATCACAACACTCAAATTCAAGCCGTGATGCAAAAGCAGAGTCCAGTGAAGCCGATGAGCCTGATTCCGATTCATCCGAGCTCGATGAAAACGAATGCGAACGTCGAACCGCCGGTTTCATCAAGTATATGGGTAAGAATCGTAAACAGTTTCCATTAATTTCGTTCAAGCAATAGCAGCTACTTCTACCAGATTTTATGGTTAATTTGAATGCATTTATAGGTGAATTGGAGCATCAATTCACAATATTACGTGAGCAATTGTATCAGGAACGTGTCAAACAGAATGATTTGTGTCTAAACGATGTTCGCAATGGCCGATCTCAGGAATATTTAGAGCCACTAAAGCAGCTCACCGATCAAATGCAAAGTCGTATTGAAGTTGCGGGTGTTTTGAAGCGTCTACGGCTGGAAAATATCAACCATAAATTCCATGCTGAAGAACAAGGAGCGTTGCAACATTTTGAGGTGAGACACATTGATTTTTTTCAAAACATTTCTCCCCATAAACTAATATCTAATAAATTATCAATTTCGAATGTGCAGAGTGAAAAAGAGCTGGCAAAAGATGCAATTTATGAGGAGTTGATGGAGAAAATTCGAAGGTTGGAAGAAGATCGGCATAACGTTGATATCTCATGGGCTGATTGGAATACTAGTACAAGAACAAGCAGCAAAGTACGTGGTCCGGGTCGAAAAAAAGCAGTCACCGTCACGGGGCCGTACATTGTATATATGTTATCCGATGATCAAATATTGGATGATTGGCGTATCATTCGGAAAAGCATGAAAAAATCATCACCATCCACGTCATCTTGAAACTCAGACAATTTTACAAATACAAAGTCTTTAAGCCATTTTTTTTATAATACATTTGAAGGGAAATTTCTGATTATTATTTTTTTTTTCTCGAACTGAATTCACTTTTAATGTTAAGTGATAGCAAAATGGTTGAAGTGTTTAATCATCGAATTTGCATTACCCATCGATTGAAATTAAATGATAGCTTTGAACCACCTTCTAATTTAAAGACAGTTTTTGTTTTCTAAAATCCTGTCGGAAAATTTCGAAATATTTTGTAACGAAACCGGCTCAAATCTTCATTTGTAAATACGATATGCAAAACAATTTTCTTTCATTCGGGATAAGCATCGATATTTTGAAAAAGAGACTTAAGAAATGAATAAAAAAAAATGAGAAAAAAAACGATTGACCCTTTTTTATGAAACAATTATTTGTTTATTATCTTCTAATACATTATGCATTACAATATAAGGCGGCTAAAAGCCTTTGCTGACCAGATAATCCTTGAGAAGGTTAACATAATCGCCGTTTATGATGATTTGCCCGCTGAATTCGTTGACTCTTGATCTCTCTTTTTTGGCCATATAGTATTCAATATAATCCATTAGTTCGTTGTGCAACTTCCAGATATCACCCGAGATGTGCTTGATGAATGTTCTTCTCCTCGTTCCGCGATAGTCAATTTGCAAATAAACGGGGACCATATGATTTTTAGTTCGTTTAATGAAATACGGTTGTTTCAATGCGTCCGGCTTTTGCGGAGTCCATCCAGAAGAATACTGTTCTTTTGGTTGTACACTTGGGACTGTTGATTTCGGTAGAATTCGTTCCACGTACTTCCATTCTGGTGGGTTTTTCAAGATTTCAATTAGTGGTTGGGCGTTCAAGTCAACTTCATCGGTAGCTGTAAGTTTTGAATTTTCCGAAAAGCATACACGTGAAGTGTGCAACGCTCTGGCCTGAAATGTTAATTAAGGTTTTATTTTGATTATTCAATGGCTTAGTCAGTCAACTAACTCGTTACAATTGGTTTTCACAACAACAGTCGCAAGCAAAACAAATGGACTACCATGGCTTGAACGTCTACAAATTTGTATCAAGTGTTCAAAAAAAAAAAATACACATTTTCTTCAACAATATTTAGCAGCAAACACATTGTTTTGATATATTTTAAATGTAAAAATACTTCAATTCACATAATATTCCGAGTTCCACTGACTAGTTTTGACATTTCGTCAGCATGCATAACTCAATAGGATGAAAACATTGGTATGTCACACTCATCACGAGGATTTCTTTTGACTGATATACGTTCTATTTCGTTGTGAAATCGTACAACACCCAATAAATTTGTATGCAAACTTACCGATGAATTAATGCCATTGCATGCCGAAAATTTTGCTGTTGAATTTGCAAGTGTTTTCTTAAAAATCGCGGAAAACGTGCGATGAGTGTTTCGAACGAAAAACGCCATCTTTTACTACTGCTGTCACACTTGATAGCTCTCTGAACTATGCGACGTTAGCTGTGACTGTGTATGGGGAAAACAAACGTACAGAGAGCGCAAGAGTGAGATTTTCATAGCAGCACATAAAGCTACCATTCAATTTGACAGTTCTCATGGCGTTCGTTAGAGTTTTGTGTGTGTGTGAGTGAGAATGAAACTAATATGTGCTGGACTACACATATCTAATTTGATGGTAGCCGGTACGGATGATTTAAATTTTAAAAACAAATCTAATTCAATTACGACCTGTTCAATTGTAATATGTTGTCATTTTTGCATTTCGATTTTAATATCCCAGTAGTAGTAACCTTAATGAAATATTTGACCACACAATAAGGGAAGAAAATGTCTATTCAATAATTGGAAAGAATGGTCCTAATCGTAGTAATAATTCCAGTAGCTATGCAAAACTAAGGATAAAAAATGCAAGAACAAAAAGAAAAGGCTACCCACGAATGTCTCTTTGAATGCGGCGCTACAATATTTCGAGTAAACTGCATGGAAGAATAAAGCGCGCTGATTTTTTTATTGCTGTCAAGGCGTGAGCGTGTGTAAGTGCAGAAGTGTGATTGTATGAGTGTGAGAGCCTAATAGAGAGAATGTGCCAAAAGGAATGAACCGAACAGAATAGAGCAGCACATCCACCGTAGCATCGTCGTAATGAGAGAGTCGACTGTTGACGATTTACGATTTACGATTTGTGTGGTGCTGCTATGAAAAATGAACCACAAAGTGAATTCACTGAGAGAGAGAGAGAGAGAGAGAGAGAGAGAGAGAGAGAGAAAGAGCACCCGAATTCATCGTCCAGAGAGAACTTCTGATACACGCACGCAAAATGAGCAATATCTTGCTTGTTTGTTTGTGATGCTTTCGTAGGGAACGCAAAACTTCGTTCTGTTTCTGATGATTTTTTTTTCTTCTTCTCTTTTGTGTCTGTTCTCTCTTTCTCTCTCCGTCTTTCTATCTCTCCCGTTCATACTCACACAGTCACGCCGGTACCATCATCGCACATATACGGCCTTGTGTGACTGTGTACAATAATAACAGCAACTACGAGCGCATATTATCAACCATTTTATATTTTATTTAGAAAAGTGTACACTTTTTTTTTTCTTGCTTGATGACAACGACCACAGCGATCGAAAAAGTTTTCTTTTTAGTTCATGTGTATTATTTTTCTTTTGTTTTCCTTTTAATTTTCGCGACATTTTCCGTTCTGCTTTCGTATATTCCGATTGAATTTCGGAATAGAGAGCATTTGTTCTGAGTTTGATTTGTTGTGTGTGCGAGACAAACAACTCGATCGCCAAAATAAAAACCAACCAAAATATACACGGGCAAGTACGTGCGAAAAGACACATTGGGATAAAAGAAAAACAGTAAAAACTCGTTTGTTTGCATAATTGCAAGTTTGTGTGTTCAAATCCGTGAGTTTTCCATGTATTCTTTTTGTTCTTCTATTTTTACATGGTTTGTGGTAAAACTAAGCGAAAATTAGCGAAAGATTGAAGTTGGCTTTTTTTCTCTTTCGTAAGATGACCAGCAAAATGGGGATTTCAATGTGAATGTAGCGTACCGCAATTTATGTTGACGTTGGATTGGTTTCGGGTGTAAATGAAGAAGATATGAACTAGATTGACGTTTCGCTTCAATGTTTCGACAATTCTTGCTCTAAATTGATACGGTGCTTCGTGCTTAACGTTAATTGCTCATTTTTTTGTTTGTTTCTTTGAAAAGGTTTTCAAGTGGTCAAGTTGGTGTTGAGAGAAGGATATTGAAGCGATTTGTAAGCAATAAGGACTTGGGCTTAATTTTACCATTTATCTGCTTCATTCGAATTGGAGAAACAAGCTCTTGAGAAAACAAGTAAATTTTTTCTTGCTGTTTAACGTGTAAACAGTGTGTATGTGCTTTTTGTGGTGAATGTTGAAATAGTACAAGCACTTTTTGACGTGTCGAACGTGCCAGCTCTCTCGGTAAGACTTTATTTTAACATTTTTTTTTTCTTCGCAACTTTCATTTCACTTTGGCTTAGTGAACTATTGGATTTCTTGAGCTATTCCATTTTTGAGGTCAAGAAAAGCAACATTTCTACTCAATTGCCGTGTTTTTTGTTTCTTTTTTCGAGCAAATCAATATTTGTTTCGTAAGGGCGAGAACATTCTCGACTCATCTGAATCAAAAATCGTTTTTAAATAATAGGTACGTTTAGATGAAAGTTCGGAACAAAAGGCTTAAATTTCTTTCGTTTTTCAATAAAATTTCATTGTTGATGTTTCTTTTGTATGGAATCGAATTATCTCATGTGATTGGAATTTGTGAAAGGCTAAAAATGTTGTTTTTTATCATCAATAACAACTTGATCAACTCTCGATTCGACATAATTCCGATGGCTAAATTTAGATCAAGCTGTCGTTCCGCCATGAATATTATGGCATGGATTTTATAACAAGGATAATTTATGCCAATTTTCAAACGGAATCAATTAAACGAAGGATAATTCTATTGGTAAATGCTAATGGTATCGTTATCCTTTTATTATTCAATCATCCATATGATTGCAACGAAAATTTAGAATAATTCTCGGCACACAGTTGTCTGCATAATGTACCTACTACCAATTGCAACACCATTGCTCCGGAGCGATATTGACTTGATGCATTCACAAAACAAACGTGCTCAACAAGGAACGCATTAATATGGAGGATAATGCTGTATAAAATGCGATGGTGTTGATAGACTGACACAACAGAAAATATCGTTAGGTAATGAATGCGTATGTGTGATACGGATACTGTTGCTTCGGTAGGCTCTTCTGTACGCCGATATGCGTTTTCTGCTGTACGTTAGCATTTCCATGTGTGCATGTCAAAACAATATATATATATATATATATATATATATAACAAAATGGGCGTTCGATGTATTGGTGCCGCGTAAATCTATATTCTTTGAACGATCCCGTATGATCCTGTACTCTTTTGTCCATGTGTTTGTGCCATTGTACATTGCATTTGGGAGTGTTGATAATTTTCCTTTTGCATGCTTTGGAAATTGAATCTTGGCATTGCAACTGCATCGATGATTGCTCCATTGAAAACATACTTTTAAACACTGCTCACTAACACACACACACACTGCGCCATACAAATCGATGCTACTGCTAACGCAGTGCTCGCATCATTGCAGATGTCTTTTTTGGCTTTAGCCCTTGTCTCCTTGCTGTTGCACAAACGATGAATGAATGAACGCACACAGGATTAAATCGATGCTATTACCAATTCTTGCATTCTATTTGCGACTCTACCCAAATCGTACCCAAATCGATTTCAATGTTTCTTTTTTGTGTATGAAATAGGACAATCAATGTTATGCACTTGAAGTAGCAACCACTTTTTCATTGAATTTGCCTTGCAAAATTGCTATAGCAGCCTCGCTGTGCTCAACTGATTTGTTATTGTTGAATCCTTTGGACTTCTTTTCTGCATTTTGATTATATGTTCAATTTTATGCACGTTGTATTGAATACCATTTGGGATTTTATCTTCTACAGTGTAATTTGGGTGCTCTGCCTACACATTGACTGGACACTGGGACCATTCCACATTTTCAAAAGTAAGTACCGAATTTAAATTATCATTCAGTTTCACAAAAATTTAAGTTCACCGAGTGTTCGTAATAAGCAAATTATTGTTTTGATAATGGATGGAACAGCAACATAAAACATATGAGATCCTTTGAAACGGAGGCACGTTTAGCAGCACGACTGTCACTCAAGTGTCGTTTCTTTAACAACAGCTGCAAAGTTTAATTGCTGACAATTTCAGATACTTCTGATATGCACCGCAAATGTTCGAGCTAATATCCATGTGCAACGTTTTTCTCTGCCATTGCAATTGTCATGAAATGTTAATTGTGCTTGAAAACGACACACACCACTAAATCTTTCATGAAACACATGCAAATCTTTCCAATAATAATTTCATCTAACTATTTCTTCCGACCCATTGATAAAAAATATTTCATTTGTATTTCTTTCATATGAGCTCAAACCTCGCACTTGATTTTTGATAAAGATTTTCAACAAAGTATCATAAGCCTATTCCACGTGCTCACTTTTTCTACAATGAGCTATTGAAAGATTTGCACTTTTCACAAAAAAATTTGAATCTTCCTTCTCCGTTTTCTTCTTTTTGATTTCATATGAACTATGACATTTTTTTTTTTTGTTGATAATATATGAAATTTAAAGCTCCTATATTTTCATTTCATTTTGGAAATCAAGTCAATAATGAACGTGTTTACGATTTTAAAGACGATAATACATCCACTATCTCGTCAGGAATACCATTTGTATAATTTAATAACCACTTGTGGTTTTTGCTATTTTTTATTTCAAATTATAGCTTGATTTTTTTCATTGAAGTCTTCAATTTAATTATATTTAAGTTGAACTAATTTAAGTGAGTCTAGGTAAGCTCATTACAGGATACTTTCAAGTTTATTCAAAAACACATAAAATAGGGATATTCTCAACAAATTGATGTTATCGTGAAATAAAACTATCAAATATGATGATTATAGTGTTGCTACTCAAATTGTCTGTTAAAATATTTCTGTTTATGTTCCATACAATGTTTCCAATTCGTTCTGATATCTTTAATAGTATATTACACCTCCAGGGTAGTCTTTGTGTTCTGATTCTAATTGCGATGGTAAGAAATTGGGTTTAAAATCATTTTTTCTATAGAGGGTGCACTTGCCATTGATATTTCATTCACATCTCTTATGACATCTTCAAATTGTCTTTTGGGGCTATGGTTAGTTTTATGGTCATGATCGACAAATTGATGGATGTGACAAGTGTCAAACAAAGAACAACATGAAAAAATTAATTCAGTTTAAGAGCAATTTGTCTATCAAACCAATACAAACTCGCGATCTAACACGCACAGAAGCGTACGCATTCTCGATACGAAGCCAATTATAAGGTTTGAGTTGAACAAAGAGTAGAAATGTGAATGCGACAGTAGCGGCAATGGTGATCTGTGGCGAAAAATCATAAACAACGATGACAGCACAAATATCAGCGCAGAGAAAAAACGTCGGAGACGAAAACGAAACGCAAGCAAAGAGTGAAGAAGAATTTCATCTTTACTCGACTTTTTATTTCCGTTCCATGTTGATTCGTCAACCGTGTTGGTGCTCATGTTGTTGTTTCGTTTTCTTGCTCTGACATCGGCAAGAGCGAATGTGAGACACATATATAGGTCCCGCATTTTCTGCACAGCACACATGCACGAACAAAAGCGACAAGATTGAAAAACAACTCACTCACGCAAACAAACAAATACGACAACACACCGCGCGATCGTCAACTTCCCAACTGGCAAGAAGAGAAATTCTCAAAATTGAATCTTTTCTTTTCAACCATGAAAATGGCAATGGTTTTTGGGAAAAATAAGAAAATTTGTCTTGTCACATATCTTAGACGCAGGTCCATAGGAATTTGTCTAAAAAGTTGACAAATATAGTAACATAAGGTGCGGTCATGTGAAAATCTTGCAAAGTAATTCGGACTGAATTAGTTACATGCACGCTATTCCACCTAATACATTTTCAGATCTATGCATACGATTCAAATTGTATTTTTTTCTTGCAAAAAGGTAGCTCGATCAATAAATTCAGAGAAAAAAAAAACTGTTGGATAGAATGAAAACTCAAAAAGTGATCGTTTGCATGTGAACGTAATCGACAGCTGCGGAAGATTTGTTCATTGCTTCAAGGCGTTTTCATGAGTAAGCTGATAGCTTACCATCCAATGTTTACACATAATCTTGTTGCTCCACAGCAAATTCTGTGTACAACATAATTTGTTTGTGTCGATTATTGTTTTCATTTTGATTCGCCATTGTTGTGCTCAATTAATGGAACACACTTGTTGTCGTCAGCATATTGCTCGTGTTTATATGTTTGAATGTATTTTTGAGTTTTTTTTTTCGATGAGACAATACTTTTGTTGTTATTGTCAGATTTTGCAATTTTCGGTGGATCTCTGCAACGAAATATCAACATTTGATGTTATAACTGTCGACAGAAGAGATTTAATTGTAATGAGATGCCTTCTTTGGTTATTATTTTAGACCATTGCTTAGATTTTGTAATTTCAGCACATTTTCATTTGATAGGATATATCCAAACCCTTCTTTTCTTTCAACTAAAAATTTCATCTCAAGAAAACTGAAACGATTCACAATCAGAACGACTTGTTGTAATTAAATAATTCAATGTCATTGAATTTGAAATTATCATATTTATAGGATAGTGTGTTTGACTAATTATGTATTCTAAAGTTCACAAGTGTTTTGTGAATAAAAATTGTAATACAGAAGTGTTTAAACTTAAGCGCAAATTGAAAGAAGGACGCAAATGAGTGAATTCTCCCTTACAATATAAATGCGTAGTTCAGTTCCTTCAGTAGCGACTTTCGGTGTTCTTTGTTTCTTAAAAACGTTACATCAATCGTCGCTTCCATAGAAGCGTAATATGAATGTGAATTTTAAATGTGTTTTTTTGTGTGTTTTTCGCGAAAATGATAAGAGATAACGAAATGATACCTTAACAAAGTTATAGAATTGGTGGGGGGCTTATGCGACATGCGAATCTCACGAGTCAATACAAAAAATGTATGCAACTGTGCAAGTCTTTCATATGTGTTTGCGATTCACTATTTCTTTGAAAAAAATTCGACTGACTCGCACTGACTCGCGATGGTTCGTAGATTTGTTATGAATACGCTGTACTTTCTGTGGTAGGATGTATTTGTGCGAGTCAGTATTGACTAGGGATTAAAAACGCGTTATTTTGTCAGTGTTTTCTAAAAATGTTAATTTACAGAGCCGTCAAAAACACCGAACATACGTTAAAAGCAAACATAACTCTCAATTTTACTTGTAATCCAAGCAAGCGATTGTCAGTTTGGGAATAATCAGATAAATAGCAGTGCCGCTATGGATATATTGAGAAGCTCAATTTGAGGTACCCCTATAAATATGTTGTATGATCCAAAGAGTTTTAAAACTAAAACTCTTCAAAAATCAAAACAAGGTCATCAAGAATATTTTTCAAACTTACTTTTGCCAAAAAAAAAAATCCTATACACAAGAATTCAATACATCTTTTTATGTGAACGTACACCACAGGCCATAAGTTTGGATACCCCTTTGAAACGTTTGTTTCTACGTTTTTTGAACATTTTCACTTGAAATTTAGTATTGGATATGAAAATATATCGAAATTCTGACCGAATGGATGATTTGGAAGATATATTTTGGCCGGCCTATGGCCATCTTTTGGCCTTTCAGCTGTGGGAGCCAAAATCGAAGTCTTAAACGGGCCATCGGATTAAAAAGTTATATACGCCAATGGAAAGGTCTTGAAAAGTAGATGTGATTTTTGGTATTAAACATCAAAATCGGCCGGCGTTTGGCCAAGATATGGCCGTTTGTAATTTTTGGCCGAAATCTTCAATCAGCCATATCTTGGCCAAAAGCTGGCCGATTTTGATGTTTAATACCAAAAATGATACGTACTCTCCGAGACCTTTCCAACGACGTATAGCATGTTGAAATTGGACAAGCGGTTTGAAATTTAAAAATTTTGGGCCAAATTCATTCATAGGGGTATCCAAACTTATGGCCTGTGGTGTACGTATATTTTTCAATGTTTCAATTTAGAATCAATTTTAGTTCTACAAAACCTCTTCATACACTCATTGTGATTACTATGCTTTTTCACAAGCACTGCAATTCAAAGACGCATACTGATTAGCTGGTACGAGGAGGTTTCACAATGCTACACTCATAATGACAGTCATAAGAATGCAGAAGCACATGAGATTACCGATTCATTTTTTATAAACATGCATGTTTATTTATTAACATGTTCATAATATGAAGAAAAATATAATACATAACAGCTTTAAGTCTGAAGCTAAAGTTTGTCTACGTTTGAATTTACTTAGATTGGAGACTTTTTCATTCAAAATAGGACAAATTTTATACATAACAAATATAGTAATTTTAGATAGTTGTGGTATATAATTACTGTCTTCCAAATTTTTCATTTGGAGGTTTTTCATTTAAGATAGTAAATTTTCTTTTAATTTCATTTAAAGTTTGATGCAAAGTTTTAAGTTTCCAAAATTTTAAAATGTTGGTTCAATAGATAGAACATGAAATAATAGTGTGATGGTTCGATTTGATTTGATGGACATTTCATTTTGACTTTGAATCGATTCGTTTTCTATTCCTTTCAACCGACTTCTAAGCCTAACACTATAATTTTTATGACCCATTTCATCCAATTCTTCTTTCGTTCAATAGTCGATATTTTGCATAGGAATATCTTGTGAACATAACAGCCCGAATATCACACAAATGTAATGTACTTCTTTGAAGTCAAAATCTATCAAATATTGAGCTAAATGTTATAGTATCTATGCTCTAATACTTGAACATTAAATATAGATGGATATTTCAGTCGACTACCGTAAATAGAATAAATGGAATACCACAAATAGAATACCGGCTATTCATATCAGCGAAAAATTGATT